TGTCAATATTTCACTGGCATCATGGCATGATGTCGTCTGACACCTTTTGCCACCTACACAATACTCGATGTCCAGAGACAAAGCATTCGAATGTCAAGAAAACACCATTTTCTACTTTCATATGCAGCGATAGACAAATGTATGTACAGTAGGGTGGTCCAAAAATTCATGGGGGGGAGGGTAAGTAAATTCGGAATTTTTATTCACTCATCCTCTAGGATTGTTCTACACCGAAAAAAATATAGCCCTATTTTTTTAATTTGAAATGGAAAAATATTTAGAGGTCGCTTAATGCACTCAAAGTTTTATATGGGGGAAAAACAACTTTTCGTAGAAATGGTATAGAATTCTTGAAAATCAATATTTTTCGGTCGGAAAACTCTGTTTCTCTTTAGGAGATTCCTAATAATAATGCCCACTTTTTTATCTAACCATTTTTTCGTAGGAAGTATATTTTATATGTCCGCCGAAAATCCCATAAAAGAATTGTTAATATTAAAAAATTAGCAATTGGGTATTATTGTTGGAAGTCCCCTGAAGAGAACCAAAGTTTTCAGATCGAAAAAAATATTGATTTTCAATAATTCTATACCATTTCTACGAAAAGCTCCCGATACCGGTTTTACTTTCTTTTACCACCCTAGTGTACATAAGCATGTATGTAGAAATTAGTATTCATACATATGTACATATAAACGTATTAAACTCAATTTCACCGTCACGATAATCGAGTAAGCGAATAAGTAATTGAAAATATATTTTCATTAAATCATATGAGCTGTGCAATCGCAATCAATGAAAGAATGCGCAATGTGTGTTTAATTGTTTGCGTTATTCATTTGTTATTTGTTGTTGATTTATGCAGATAAGCTTTGCTTTGATATGAATGAACTTGACGTTATGCTATGCCATTTAGAGTAATCACTTGTATTGACGTTTTGTATTAAGTATATTCTATTTTTAAAAATAGACTAAGTTTGTTTTTGAGTGAGCATGCGCATTTTTCTTCTTCTAGTTCAAAATAAAAATACTTAATATCAGTGTGACGATTGCCACCTTTTGGCTTTGGCCGGATGTTAGTTTCCCGTGATGCATGCTTAATTTTGTAAAAGGCCCCTAGTTGACAAATGGTTTTCTTGATAGCCCTTGGCTTTGCTATCATATTACTAGCGACCTATTAACCTAAGCAAGCTTGCGTAGACTTAAATCAATCTTTGAAAAGGGTAAAAAAAAACAGCGTCAAAAATCTTATTATTACGATTCCGTTGAAAAGATTTTTAAATATTTTTATGCTGATTTTTTAAGCCTAATCTGTTTTGTCATCTGAAGGGACTTTTTTCAAAAAGTTCTTTAAGAAACTATTTTTATTCATAAAAAATTCCATTTTTGAAGTTATTTTCAAATCGGTCCAGCTCGCTTAAATCTTAATATGTTTCCGAAATATTTTGGCGGACGTCTTAAAATATAATAAATTTTGTAATCCCGGCAGAAAAACCTCAACTTTTCTTGGTGATGCAGTCTAATGTTTATTTATTTATTTGTAAATATTTTCTTTTAAAATATAGTTCGATACATAACAGAAACCACAAAAATAAAAGTTTGAAAACTTACACAAAGTTCACAAAAATTATTAAATTAAATTATCCAGTCGCAACCAATTACCGTTGCTTTCAGATATTTTTTTTGCCCGTGGTGTTGTGCTCCATTTTCTTTTTTGCGTTGCAAAAAAAACATCCAAAACAAAACTACAAAACTGATTACTTAAAAATTTTCTAGAAATTTTGAATGCTAATTTTTAAATTTTGATGAAAATTGTTTGAATTTTTGTGAACTTTATATAAAGTGTGGAACTTTTATTTTTATTGTTTATATTATAGAACGTACTATATTTTCATATATATAATTGTGAATATAATTGTGAATTTTATATTAGATACAACAAGGTGTACACTTACATTTGACACCGACTGTATGTATGTATGTATGTTTGTTAGGAGCAAATCTTTCAATCAATTTTTGACCAACTTCCCGATGACCTAGAGTCTTGCAACTTCATAGCTGGCTCAGAACCCGATGACAATGCAATACGAAAGATGAGTTGAGCTGATAGGTGATGCAGGAGTCGAGATATTTCATATTTAGAACGTATATTAATTATGTGTAAAGGAATAATAATAAAGGAATAACGATAGGTGGCGCACGAGTCGATATATTTGGTAAACCAGTATTTACCGTCCGATTTCGTTCATATTTAGAAAGCTTGCTGTACCTCGCAATCACTGCTAACTTTTTTTTTAATTATGATCGACCCTCTCGATTATTAATAAAAAAAAAGAAAATTGTTGTTTGCGTATTTCGCCATGATTTCAAAAAGAGGGCACATATGTACATATATAATTTGTAAGTGTGCTTTTATTAATTATTCAAAATTTTATAGTAATATGAATAGGCCATTCCAAAGATATGCATATATGTACATATGTATGTATGTGCTTGCACAGTTCTTCTCAAAAAATGTTCTTCCAAGTAAGTTTTATTATTCGCCACTTTTCGGAAGTGTAAATAAAAGCAGGTGTTCGCTTCCGTTCCAACTGATACACACTGATGCGTGACTCAAACAACCAATTCTTGTAAGATGTTCAAATAAATAATTTGGCATGCAAAAAAAATGTAGAGCAGCAAATAAAAGTGAACAAGCGGAAACCAAACATTTGGGCTTGATTGGAAGTGTACTTAAAGAAAGTACTGTACTCTATACTTGTTACACATTAGTGTACATACATATGTATAATTTGCTGCAGGTGGCCTGCAGAGGGTTTCAGCTATAAGACAGTGCGACAAAAACAAAAAAAAAAAAACAAATTCAAAAGACACGAAACAGTCAATATACTTGCGAAACTATAAGCCAAATATAGTGAAACTAAATTCATTTTTTTTTAACTTTGAAATTTCAATTATATGATGAATTAAAAAAATTATTTAAAAAACCAAATGAAATGAAGCAAAATCTGTGGAATAAAAAAATAAAGTGTTTTGGTTCACAAGAACGAACAGGTGGGAATGCCGTTTTAATAAATTGTATTTTTTAAGACAACAAAGTTAGATGCCGAAATTTTAGGATGTACTTAATAGGGTGTTTATTAGTCCTCAACGTATAATTTTTTTTTAAATATACATATATTGCGAAATTTCAAGGATATTCGGATAAAATTGTATGCAACAAAAAATTTTAACATATATAATTCTACAGAATTTTCTCTTTTATTTGTTACCCATACTGTTATTCTACATTGCACTGAAATTTTTAAATAATTTTTTGAATCAATTATAAAATTTTAAAATCCTTAAAAATATCCCGACGTCCCTAGTTTCACGAATATATTGTTTTTTTTTTTTTTTTGTACAATTCACTGTCGCACGGTTTTGTACATTGCACTAGATTCTTTAAATAATTTTTTAAATTAATCATACCTTTAAAATTTCATAGTCCTTAAAAAACAAATATCCTGACGCCAGAGAGAAAAACTAAAAACGCGTTCTAGTAATTTTGGTCCGCAGTTTCGCTGAAATATTTGTTTTTTTTTTTTATATAAAATTGACAGTCGCACGGTGTAATTATAAAAAAAAAATATACATATATCTATGGTTCTGGTAAAAAAGTACGGTTATATTCTTCAAAAAATTCAGTAAAAACGTTAACTTTTAAAAGATGAATCGCGTTTATTGAAAGTCAATATGGCGGACAAAGTTTTTGAAAAATGTTTGGATATACATACATGCAACTTGTTACTCGGGGGTAGCTTATTACGAAGTTAATCATAAATTTTTCAAATTCCAAATGGCGGATCCAAATGGCGAATTCATTACATTTTACCGCCATATTTAATTTTTAAAATTCATGGTCACATTCGTTACCAGCGATCCCAAAAATCTCCGAGTAACAAATTTGAAGTGAATCCAATTATTTTTAAAAACTTTATTCGCCATATTGGATTTAAAAAAATCATTTAAAAGTAAACATTTTTACCGAATTTTCAAGAATATAACGAGTATTGTGGTGCTAAATTTAACGAGTTTGCTGTAAAACGTGCCTTGAAGCACGTGTGCCACAAATGACGCGGACTTTACGAGAAAGAAAAAGGTTAGAATACTGGGATCGCCAGTGAGTAATGTGCTTGAAAGCCGCCTTTGTATGCCTGTCACGTACATACATAGCAGAAATTTTGGTATGTGTAGGTTTTAGCCTGAACGGCAAGCTTGACTCGCATAGAGGAGCATAATTTCAACCTTTTCCCACTAACATGCTTTGAGGCGAAATGCTTATACTCATAGACGCATGTAAATCTCCGCGATTTCTACATAATTCAATTGTTGCCTAAACGTGGCCTTTCAATTATGGCTAACACGATCACTCATCGAAATTCGCCTTAGCGCAAGTATTGAAATTTATTTTGTATTTACATTTGTTGTGGCGTCATTACCTTGCTCCAGCTCCAAAAAGTGCTGCAATGCCAATGTTAAACGAACAATCCAATCGATCGACCGGCTGATCGCTGGAAAATTGGTTTGCATGGCAAACGCGCGGGTGTAGGGTAGGTGAGAAGCCGGGTTGGCAGCAGAATTTACATACATAAATTGCCGTGCAACGGCGAAATTTTCAGTTCAACGCTGGCAAGCAGTGCGTGAGCAACAACGCAAAACTTTGCAGAGCAAAAAACTGATAATTATAAAAATTCTAAGTCGTATTTGCGAACTTATTGCAAAATCAAAATTATTAAAAAAAAGTTCTGAATTAAAAAAAAATAAGTATTTAAATTCTTGTAGCAGCCAAAAACACTTGAACTATGCACGAGACGAATTTGCATGAAACTATAAAAACCGCTGGTGAAATCAAAGCATTGTGCAAAACTTCAGAAACAATTGAAGAGCAAGAAGATTCTAAAAAATTACAAACTTATTATAAAAACTCTAAAACAAAAGAAATAAAACAATTACATACAAAAACCAAAGAGCAAAGTCAAGAAACAAATCAGCGAAACCTAATATATAGAGAACAAACAGCAGAAACCAATCTTAAAAATTGTGAAACAGTTCCCGAAACGCAACAGAACCAATATACCAGCTCTAATAAGCAAAGTTACTTTCAAAAAAATTTAAATATTCACCAAGAAAAACCAAAAACCAAACAAACAAACCAAAAAATCAACCAACAAATTCAAACTCCCTCGGCCCGCTTCCAGAAACACCTCCAATCACAACAACCAAAACCAAGCAGCATCAGCAAAATGGTCGAGCGTTTCGTCGAGTCACTCACTCACATCAACGACTCTGGCGCCTTCGATGCCAGCTTCGAGATCAAGCGCATCCCCGACACACCCCAGCAGGTATTGCGCCATCGTTGTGTAACCGAGCTGGATCGTGAATGCCTTGCGCGCTTTGTGCGCGACTTTGAAGCGCGTCACAGCGCGCAGCAGCCGGAGCAACAGCTGCAAACAGAACGCTCGTGCCGACGCAACAGCAGCAGCGCGCGCAGCCTAACACCCAAAGGTTCGCCCTACCTATGTCGCAAGGCAAAGGAGTTCTATCAGAATGTCTTCAACAATGTCACTCCAAGCGCGCAGAGCAGTCGCAGTAGTTCACCGCGCACGCCACAAATATCCTGCCGCGCCAGCACGCCCGACAATCAGTCCACACACTCTGATCTTGGCTACGCTGAAGGTCAAGCGCATTTAGATGAACCGCATACAGATGACAGCCGCTTTCAACGTTCGCAGTCCGAACGCTCTAGCTACCGTTCGGCTGTCAAAGTGTTGCAATTCTTCTCGGGCAAAAAGAAGTGCAAGTCAAAGCAAGCGGTAGGTGTTGCAAGTGGAGCCGTCGCCGCCGCCGCCGCCGACACACGCAGCGTGACAGCTTCGCCGCAGCCGTTGCGCGCAACTACGCTCGGTTGTCAACCTTTGCCACATTCTGACTCTGATGTGGAAGATAACATTGAGGACGCCGCATACTATTTGGATGGCGCGCAGGCTGAACATGATGGAGTCGTTGATTTCGTGGTGGAGGAAGCGGAAGATGAGCACGACGACGGCATCTCTTCGGCCAGTTCGAATATCACACAAACCAGCAGCAGTCGCAACTATTCGCCTGATTCCTCATTCGAGTTGCATTCGCCGCTATTGCCAATATTCAAGGTGACACCGCCACAGCACAACAAAGACAGCCGCAGCAATCCAGCTTATGAGTTTGCGCGCTTTCTACGCGGCTCCTTCCACGCCAAGCGCGCGTCGGTGACAAAATTGCGGCGTTCCATCAGCGACCCAGACACATTTCAACACGTGGATTTTACACAACCCCCACCGCCGCCGAGTGAGCGCACGAAGAGCATTAGCGGAAAGCACGTAAAAAGCGTGAAGTCCAAGCAAGCGGCGGTAAGAGGTGCTGCCGGAGCGATGAACCCGTCGTCAGCAAATGTCATATGCGTGAGTCACATCTAACCCCTACATACTTTACTTCTGCACACAACCTCACCCACTTCTCACAGCCCCACCTTGAATGATAACTTCCTATATATGCATGCCAAGTAAAATATTTGTAGTCTACAAATTTTAAGGTTTTCTCAAAATTATTCGTTTGTTATCAACTAAAATAAGCAACAACACCAAAAAGTGCCTCAATTGTACACTTTCCGAATATGTATAATAATGGCTAATAACATAACACTTTCCTCAGCAAAAACGTATTTTTTTTTTTTGTATTTCTTCTTTTTAACTATAATGCTCATTCATGAATTTCAATGAGGTGAGGAGCTACCTCCCAAATATTATTATATAAAATTAATTTAAGTCTAATATTTTTGGCATGCGGCACATCAATCCACCTGCAGATATTTGCCTGTAGCTGCGCATTGCGTGCCATTGGGTTTTTTTTCATTCATACAAATTCACCGGAAAAAGTATTATTTTAATTTTAACAACAACAAGATAGACACTAAAAATTTAATTAGAAATGTACGTTTTTGTGTGTGTGTTAATTTTAGGAAATTGTTAGAAATTTAAGTGATTGGCTGAAATAGATAAAGCAAGTTGGAAATATCCAATTTAGCATTAAATCATACTCGTATATCTAAATAAACAACGTGCGAAATTGTTAAAATAAAATGCAACAGCTGTTCTTCATTCGGGCAATTATTTTTTTTTTGAAATTCGTTGGAAATTTCTTCTTGATATTTTTAGATAAGCACCTGCAATGGATTTGCATGAACTGCCTAGAAGTATGCCAAGTTTCACATGGTTGGTTGAAGGAGCGAGAATAACAACTGCAATGAGCACTAGGTTACCCCACGTCTCCGCCTTCTACAGATTCTGTTAAAAAAGTTGTGGTAAGACAGAAATCTCAGGAGGAGACCGCAAATTTCCACTGTTAAACCATATCTGTCTTGCCGAATTTCTTACCATCGCTGTCTTAACATCAGCTGTCATTTCGTAGTTTGACAACTCAGTTTTCATTTTACCGCGCCATCTACATTGGGTACAGACCGATCTGATTGGTTTGATGCCATTTTGAATGCGATATGTTAAGACAGCAAGTTGCCCACATGAGAAAACGGGACGAACAGAAATTTTACAGATGTTAAGAGATCACTAGACTGCCTCAGTTCACTCTCGACCAGAAAGACCTTGCGGTAGCACATGCTCTTGCTATCACCCAGCGCTCGCTGAGTTTACACAAGGCTCATCTTTCCAAGAGAAGTCTATAAGTTCATACTTGGAGAGACTGGCTGGAAGGTACCACTCCTGGCCAACTCATCAGCCATGCAGTTTTCTGTGATATCACTATGGTCTATACCCATTAAAGTCGGAAAAGGTAATACTCCGACGCGACCAAAAGAGATGGCAGGCATTCCCCCTGCTAGCACCGTAAGCTAGCCCTGATTGCCGCCTGACTGTCTGAGAGTAGATACTAACCTCACTTACCGTCCGACGCGTACATCAGAAACTTATCGACTGCTTCCTTAATAGCAGCAATCAGCTCAAATATGTGCCATTTCAAAATCACACTAATAATTCCTAAGAAGTTGCAGTGAGCTTATGTGTATCTTTTAAACGAAAAAAAAAACGAGCTTGTCTAGAAACCTCATTCTGGTTCTACCCAGTGGTGAGCAGTTACACAGGAGATACTCCTCCGCTTCCTCTGTTTCTGATAAGTTACAAGAAGTGTTGTGTACCTGAACTAGTAGTCCTGTGGCAAAGGTTGTTAGTCGAGACAAATACTACCTGTCCAATTTGGCGACAACTGAAGTCTGTTTTGGCCAGTAGATGGGTCACAAACTCCTATAGACTTCGCAGGGTTACATCTGCGGTCTTGACTTACGATACATATTTACATACATACATATGTAGCCCAGAGTAACATATGAACCTCTTCTGCCTCTGAGATATGTATGCAAACCCGACCTGAGAACCTCGTCGGATTTTCCGTTGCCATGTTTTCTTTCTTTTCTGGATGTTTCACAAACCAGTGAAGCAGCTTGCTGGCTTTAGAGGACCAAGCACGCCTGACGGTGTTCGTCATTCAAAAGGATGACTCGTCTGTGAAAACCACATTGCTCAAGTGAGACGTCTTGGGTCGTTTTAGATGGCAGGCAATATAGGCTGCTGTGCAAAAGATAATAATTTTTTTTTTTCCAATTAAGTACTGCTTGATATATAAAATTTAGTTAATGCAAAGAAATCCCAACCCTTTCTCTTCATCTTGCGACTTTTTAAACCTCTCCTCGTACGTTGGCCATGCATCTAAGTGGGAAACAAAGCCTTAATTTTGTTGTATGGCTCTTATTAAATATTCTAGACAGCAATTCCTTCATTCAAAACCGGGCTGCGCGACTATGGATATCGTGCAAATCGCATTCATTAACAATATTTTTATTTTTCTTTATCGCCACACTTTTCATTTCTGCAAAAATTTCACTGTTCGCAAACCATTTAAGCTTTCTGCGCAATTTCGATTTACATGTTCATCATTTTCTAATTCAAATAGCGTATATACCTATGTATTTGGTCTTCAAATATGGCACGTAAAACTAAATTTGCTGTCGCCACTTTTGTATACTTGTCTTTGGCGAATTTCTGAATTGGAAGCGCTTGTACAATTATATAACCAAAAGACAGACCGTAAGTTATTCACAAATTGTATAAAATAAAATTAGTTGTAAACAGGGGCGGACGCAGGTAGGGGGTTTTGGGGGTTCAACGTGTAGTTTAAATGTCCGTGATTACCAAAACAAAAAGTGCTACGCTCCGAATGCATTCTGTAAAAATAACGAACTGTTTTAAACCGAAAAAGTCTGCCCCTCCGACAGCCGAATTTGCAGAAACTAAAGTGATAGCCAAAAAGTCATCTGACGAGTATCAAGTAGCGATAGAACCGCAACCTCCGCAAATTCAGAAAATCTTCCTTAAAATCAATATAAGAAATATTCACTTCTTTATGTTTTACTGAGACGAAAACGAACAGCAAAGCAAAACAAAATAATCGGAAGATGCCATACCTTTCACAATTTTTTTTATTTTTTATTATTAATTTGAAAGAAATCTGAATGTTTCTTGGTGATAGATTTCGGGACCCACGGGACCCGCGGTCAATTCTGAAAAACGTCAGGATGGGCGGGTTCGGGACTTAAAAATTTAATTTCGGGATGGGCGGGATGATGTGTCAAAACGGGAATTATGGACTACTGGAAAAGCCGTGAGTACCGGATGCTATGAATTCTGACTTTCTCTGTAAATAATTTGAAATACATAAGCTTGCATCTATGAATTGAATTGAAAGATCGACGCTATTTTTACGACGATTTGTATAGAGATACAGTGGCGAAAATATAAATAGGGCAGCGACATTTTAACAAGTGCTATGTTTCTTTTGTTTATTTGATGTTTATTATTTTTTATGAAAGTATAGCTCGTTATCTATCATGTAAGTCTGAATTTCAAACTTGGTAAAGAATTAGAAAAAATCGACAAATTCAGCAAAATTTCGAGCTTTGAATTTAAATTTCGTAGACATTTTGAGTATGCAGTTTTTTAGCCCGCTTAATTTTAGTAGATAGAATAAAGTGCAAGTTTGAAGTACCGTCGCACAGTGATTCAAAACTGGAATTTAATGTTTATTTTTGTACTAATTTGATTAATTTAATTTTAAACTAAAGCTTATAAAATTATCAAGAGACCAGTTGAGCTCGATTTTTGAATTTCTTTATGTTTGTATTAAATTTTTTAGTGCAAAATGCAGAAAAAGTAGCAATTTTCAGAGAAAAATCGATTCTCCTATTCCAGTTAATGAGTGGTACATAAAAAAAAAACTAGTTGAAAACAAATGTAGAGTTCCCCCAAAACGAAAA